ATAAACAAAAAAAAGTCCTTTCTTAAAGTAAAGTGAATATTTTAAAGTTGTGTTCTTATCAAATACCAACAAGATTACAATTAAAAGAAGTCACCGACGACCGCAAGAGTCACCGACGTCCTGTGATGGTTAAGTATCTTTTCCAGATACATAGTAATTAAGGGAAGAACGACAATTGTCTCGATCAGCTTTTCAGATCAAAAGTATGTCGCTTTCATATTTCCATTTTGTATACAAGTTCCACGCGATCGAAAACGTGTCCTCGCTTCCCCTTTATGTCGCACTGTGTGAATTTAAAAGGTCAGGACGCGAGGTGAGCGTTTTTAAACCTCGTTAGTACATGCGCTGGTAACTCGGACAATGACACTTCACACGCGACTGTCCAAGGCCATCGTGCGTTTTCCCTTTTCCTGCGTGCGAAGGCAAAAAGCTCATTCGGTTCAAAAAGAATTTCACTTCATGCGTCAACTGTGATGTGTTTCTCACACACGGCCTTTTCGGATTTGCAGAGAAACGGTTTAATAGTCCGGGCCAATCACTTCCGAGTTGTAGTCTCGAGTTTCACTACTTTCCCTTATTCATTCGGACCTATGACACGGCGCACATACATTTCATTCACGAGTGCGCCGTTATGACTTCATGGCGAACTTCAGTGAGAAACATGATCGATTTATTGCTTCTCTCTCCCCTGGCCTCCCAAGTGATTCACACATTCCGCAGCCTATTTTGGTCCAATGATCTATGACCTCTCTCATCAGCAAACAACAAATGCTGGTACGGAAGAATTTGAATATTGTAAATGAATAAGGTATGTTTAATATTAACAAATGTACTTTAGTTATAACAGTCTATACATAGTCACATAATATATTATAATATTATCAAAATAAGGCAAATTCAATTCAAATTCAATCAAATGTGTGATCAGGATTTGTACACAAACTGAAGTCAATTAATTATTTCGATGGGTTTTATTAAGGATTTCTAAAGCTGCTGAGAACTAACGTTCTTTTAAAAAGTTGTAATAAAACTGGCAAATAGTGTAATTATTCTTGCAGCATTACCTAATAACCAACAACATATAATTATTATTTCACTCTCTGAATTGTTTTTAAAAAGTAAAAATAGAGCATGTTCAATAATTTTAATGCAATTGGTCCAGTCAAGGTTAATTAAGGCGAGCCCAGCGCGGCGGCTAGGAGAGTGAACGACCCAGGAGACGCAGCCCGAATGCATCAAGCTTACATAAGCGGGGCAGGAAACGTTCACCCAATGCCGGGACCAACAACTGGCGAGCTGCCACCTCACCGTGCGCGGCCAGCGGCCTGCGAACGATTGCATTCCTTCCGTTCCCCTCCAAACGCCCGGCCACATTCCAACCACACGCACGGAAGCACGTGGGATACAAGAACGAATCAAATTTCTCGCGAGGGAAAAGACAGATGCAGGGAAAAGAGAGAGAGCGAAACAAGAGAGAGAGAGAGATGAATCAGGGATAAGAGAGGGATGAATCAGGGAAAAGAGAGGGATGAATCAGGGAAAAGAGAGGGATGAAACAGGGAAAATATGAAGAGGAAACAGAGAAAAGAGAGGATACAGGGAAAAGAGAGAAAACATATAAAAGAGAAGAAACAGGGAAAAGCGAGAAAACGGGGAAAAGAGAGAAAACGGGGAAAAGAGAGTAAACAGTGGAAAAAGAGAGTAAACAGTGGAAAAAGAGAAAACAGGGAAAAAGAGAAAACAGGGAAAAAGAGAAAACAGGGAAAAAGAGAAAACAGGGAAAAGAGAAAACAGGGAAAAAGAGAAAACAGAAAAAAGAGAAAAAATGGAAAAGATGGAAAACAGGGAAAACAGGGAAAAGAGAGAAAATAGAGAGAAAAATTGCCAACAGAAGGGCAGTCAGAATATAGAGAAATAGACAAAAGAGATAAATCTGACGAAAAGAGATAGAAATCTGTTTGCGCGCAAGAGCGCGGTTGGGAACGCTGCGAACAAATGCGTGGCTCGCATTTACACGTGGTTTTGTTCCGAGAGGACATAGTGACCAGCCGGGCGGTATTTTGAAATGGTGGATACTCGTTGCTGGAGCCGCGATATGGTGAGGAAGTTTCTTTCCATATATAGTAAGTGCCCTGTTCTATGGAAGCTTTAAAGTTCTCTGTATATTAACAAAAAAAAAATTTAAAAAATGCGGGTTACGGGAAGTCCACATGATAGTTCTCTTTTCATTCCTTCAACAGCGGCATGTGATCAAATTTTTGTCTGTAAATTTTTACCCAAAACCGTGCATTTTTTCTTCTCTTTATCCTCTTGGTATTGTGTTGTGGTACTAATTCCAGGCACTGTTATAATTTTCCTTTTACCATAATTGTGAACGGACAACATTTCTGATTAAGCTAATCGAAAAAATAGTAATCTCATTCAACATACACTATACAAACACCACAGGATAACACGCAACACGGTCAGCACATATATAACTGCTCCAACACAGAGCAGCAGCAGCAGCGAGGAGCGTGGAACGCGCGTGAGGACCGTCGGATCTCGTAAATTCTGCGCGCCGCACAAGAGCGCGCTCCAGAACGCTGCTGAGATCTTCACACGGACGATTTTACTCGAATCGTTCGTACGTGGCGCGCAGAAGCGTGGCAGAAATAAGAACCACACTCCTGCCCGCGCGCTCTAGCTCGTGGCCAGCAACGTCACTGTCAGACGCGCGGCTAAGAATCCCCGTGCAAAAGGACCCTAAAAGCAATGAAAAGATAGACAAACATATCCAAAATATAAAATACGACCGAAAGAGAGAAATAAAGCCAAATCAGAGAGAAATAGGTCGAATCACAAAGAAATAGGTCAAATCAGAGAGAAATAGGTCAAATCAGAGAGAAATAGGTCAAATCAGAGAGAAATAGGTCAAATCCGAGAGAAATGTGGCCAAATCCGAGAGAAATGTGGCCAAATCCGAGAGAAATGCGGCCAAATCCGAGAGAAACACGACCAGAACAGAATATTGTCAAAAGAGACAAACCGAAAGAAACGCAACGAAGGAAGGAGAAAAGGCTGGTGAGTCGCAAAAACGAAGAACGCAGACGTACCTGTCGGGCGGGCAGCGTTGCACGCAGGCGCCGTCGGGCGACAGCACGTGCCGGCAAGCGTGGCAGCGTCGCGGCCCGGGCCCCCAGCAGCCGCCCAGGCACTGCGCCGAGCAGCCGTCGGCGTCCGCGTCGGGCGGCGGCCGCTGGCACGCGCGGGGGCACCCAGCCAGCCCACGGCGCCGCCGCCGCCCTCCGGCCCGCCCTGCCCACACACGCGCCGCGTCGCGTCGCCGTCAAGGCCTTCGCTCCACAATCAGATCACACTTGGGGGCGGGGGGGTTATCGATTGATTAGTGTTTAAGAGCGGGGCAACTGCTAGGGTCGTTAGTCCCGTAAATGTAGCGCGTGTCTTTATCGCGGGAGACGTCGGTGACCTTTCCCGGCTGGGTGGTGATATCCGGCGCCGACCTATCGAGTAGCGGGGTTTTCCCCAACCAGGTATCTTCCACCAGCGGGGCACCGCCCCAGCCGGGCTAAGCTCTCCCGACAAGGGAGGTAGTTTAGTACAGTAAGTGTGTGTAAGGGTGACGACAGGACAAGGGAAGGAATGATCGCGCGCCGTCCGTGACCCGTTTGTTAGAGTACTACTCCGACATTCGCCTGGAGTTGATCGGAGAAACCACGGACACTACCGATCAGAGCAGCCGGCCGCTAGAGTTCTCCTCCGGACCACGGATGAATTCGACCCAGCTACGTAGCTAGTGTTGAGAATCCTGTCGCCGCCGCGATTCGAACGGTAGGATCTCTCGGTCATAGATTCTGCACGCTTCCACTTGTAATCTCCACAGTCACGCTTTAGATTTCCTTTGACATAATTCCATAACCGCCATAAGCCAAATACGCTGATAAGTCATGCATGCTTAAATGTTACTGGAGAGCCAAAAAAAGAACAACCTTTAGCTGATGCTGTAAATCTGGGATTAATGGTTTCAAACGAAACCTACTCACAAATAATTTAGTTTGGATATCTTAATCCCTGATTTACTTCAGTTGAAAGATTTTTTTTGCTCTCCTGTAAAATTTAAGCATTCATGACTTATCAGCTTATTCACCGGGGTCAAAGATTTAACCCTAATAATACCGAACTGGGTAGAGATGGAGCACCGGCGATTTTTTTTTATAGATTTCAATTTTTACAGAAAGCTGAAAATTCTTATTATTGACGTACCTTTTTTAAAAGATAATGCGATTCAACAGTGTTTGTTAGACAGTTATGGCACAGAGTCTTCCGCTGTGGGTAAAACACTTAAAGAGGCATTTTTCTCCAAAGGTACAAGCTTTAAATATTAATTTCAAAGGTAAATTATAACACACCAGTAAATCCAGTATGCAAGGGTCATGGCAATCTTTCTTCTGCTGACAAAATATGAATAAGAGTGAAAATTCTATTACTGTACCTCCTTAAATTTTACTACTCTATGCAAATATATACTCAAGACGTTAGGCAGAAGGGCAGGCGATATGGCCTGAGCCTAGCCATTAATATAGGCGTTGTTGTTGTTATTGTTATTGTTATTGTTATTGTTATTATTATTATTATTATTATTATTATTATTGGTGTTGTTGTTGTTGTAACTGTTGGATGGAGGAGAAATACGTAAGGCGGGCTCACAAAGCGGAGAAAAAATGCTGGTCAAGGCTGCAGGAAATACTTCAAACCAAGGAAATTCAAGTGTGGGAACAAACTATTAAGAGTGCACAAATTTGAGGACGAATGCTTCATGCAAAGTGCACTTATGACGAAAGGGGTACATGCAGCAGGGCGAGCAAGGCGGGAGCGGCCAAGCAACAGAGGAGGAAGGGGAAGGGGAGGGGGCGGGGTCAC